GGGAAGAAGAAATAACCTACAAAGGAAATCCTCTAGAAGAGAGTAAACACAAAGGAAATCCTCTAGAAGAGAGTAAACACAAAGGAAATCCTCTAGAAGAAAGTAACCACAAAGGAAATCCTCTAGAAGAGAGTAACCACAAAGGAAATCCTCTAGAAGAGAGTAACCACAAAGGAAATCCTCAGGGAAGAGAATAACCACAAAGGAAATCCTCAGGGAAGAGAATAACCACATAGGAAATCCTCTAGAAGAGAGTAACCACAAAGGAAATCCTCAGGGAAGAGAATAACCACAAAGGAAATCCTCAGGGAAGAGAATAACCACAAAGGAAATCCTCTAGAAAGAGAATAACCACAAAGGAAATCCTCTAGAAGAGAGTAACCACAAAGGAAATCCTCTAGAACAGAGTAATCACCAAAGAAATCCTCTAGAAGAGAGTAACCACCAAAGAAATCCTCTAGAAGAGAGTAACCACCAAAGAAATCCTCTAGAAGAGAGTAACCACAAAGTAAATCCTCTAGAAGAGAATAACCACAAAGGAAATCCTCTAGAAGAGAGTAACCACAAAGGAAATCCTCTATGAGAGATTAAAAATTATGATGAAGTAAACAATCTTGTGGAAATTCAAAGTACGTCTTGGTGACATTCAGAAACTTATGATTAACACACTCTTACTTTCAAAAAAGAAACATGAAGAAAAAAGAGATCACATAGTAGATAAGTAGAAGAGAGGAGGAGAAAGAGTTAATACATCTAACAAATATGTAGATGTCAGTTTTTTAAATGAATATCTGCTTCACCATGTTTATGTTCTTGTTACAAATGTATTATTGTTAAATTGTCATTGTAGATAATGTGCTCACATATCAGACAACACTCAAGAACATACTGTTATAACTTCGAATTACTTCAGCTGTTTGTTTTAAGACTGGGCATGTAGGGTGTCTACCTCTTGATAAAGCCGTAAATAAAACATCGAGGAAGTAAAGAATTTTCACTGGATTCTGCCTGTTTCTCTTCCTTAAACATGCTAACACTACAGTAGGCATAAAGCAACCAAATTTCAAAAGCATTAAATCGTATTAAAATATTGTACTTGAATGTTATACAATTATCAAATAATTTAAAAATTAAAATCAAACTGGCATGCAACTCCTACATACTATACAACTATAGAGAAAACAACCCTTTAAAAATTAAAAAAGTTCGACTGAATATAACAAACATACAGAGACAAATAAGTAAACAAAACTGAAACTAATACAACAGAGAATGATGGGGGGAAAAAAAAGAGACTAGAAAGCAGTTACCGTATTTGTTTTCAAAATTTTTCACTTATTTCAATACAGCAATACCACAATATTTTGTTTGAATTTCTTAAATTATTTCTAGCATTTTCCACCTTCTTTTTAAATTTTTAACACAAAAGAACTATTTCTGCAGTTAATTCTGATAACATGGTTACAAAATCAATTGGTTGTAATATTTTACACCTGAGCCAGGATCTACAAGCTATGGCACATTTATAAAAACATTATTTGTATTGTATTTTATATGTATGGCAAAGCTATTAAGGCTCACTACTCCCATCCATAATTTGGAACTATTGACAAGAGGGAGGATAGCCAGTCAACAGCACCCTATCACCCAACATCCACACTAAAGTATTTACTATCATTTTCATGATGTACCCACAACTTAAACTTGAGGTAACATCTTGTATTATCAAACATGGTTTTCTAACACTGAATCAAGAGCTCAACCACAGGAACAGTTTCTATTGTTCATAGTTTCTACACCTTATAATTCCAAGTTGTGTGAGAAATGAAACAGAATGAACAGCATGAAAGAAATAAGGTATTTGTAGCTTATTATTATACAATCTGTAATTTTGATTAAAAATATGTTGAGATATCTTGATCAATTAGAATGATCCATAAACTCTGTCGTTCCTTGATTAATCAGCTATTTTCTTTAGTATTCTTAACTACGATACGCTCACATTTAATCAGAGCATGTCAACCCACGTTGTTAGGACCCGTAACCCATGCTCTGTGGTGATCTGCTACCCACATATTTGTACCAAATCACGACACTACTAACCAATCTTGAATTTAAAGAACTACAATTACTTGATACAACTCTAAATTAAATAATACTCAATCTTTAAACAATATCTACTCTATAAAGTAATGTACATATCGGTATGGCCACCATTTCTCACAAGTTTCTAGAATCTTTCAAGTATTAAAGTGTTTCTTCTTTTACTAGAACCAGTTTCAGTTGACAAGCTTTTTGGATAAACACCAGTGATTACAGAGCTAGAACAAACAGTATTTAAAGGACACATGCTTACTCATTACAAACCTATTTACTGAGACACTTAAAGCAGAAATATACGAAGTTGGTGATGTTATTCTTTTGTAAGTCAAAGTTAACCATTTTATAAAAACAACAGCAGATAAATTTATAGGTTTACACAAAAAAGTAATTATTGCTCTAATCTTTAATTAGGTTACCAGTTCAATTATTCATCAGTAATCTGTTGACAGATTTAATTCAATACCGATGTTGTAAAAACCAAGAAGAAATAGTAAGCAGTGTGTTACTAACACCAGGGGGAGCTTTTGGAGGAATACATCTATTTCAACTCACTTCTCTTACTGCTATGCTACTTAAAGAAAACTTATTAGGTAAACTTCTATGGAAGATAACAGTATTTTATGCTTTCAATGCACTTGTATGAAAATTACTTGACAAAATATTAAGCATCATAACATGTTTTTAAAACACCAAGATCTAATTGGCAAGCTATCAACATATTTTTAAAACACCAAGATCTAAGTGGCAAGCTATCAACATATTTTTAAAACACCAAGATCTAATTGGCAAGCTATCAACATATTTTTAAAACACCAAGATCTAACTGGCAACCCATAAAACCAACAGTTACAGCAGTTAACAAACAATCAAATAAATTAATTTTTGATTTAAATAAAATTCTAGAGAAAAATACAAAACTAATAGTTCACTTGGAAGTACAATAAAATTTGAAACTACTGAAATTTGTTACACAGACTATAGCGTCTTTAGGCTGACAACTTAAAAACCTCATAGTATGAAAACAATTATTTAGAAGACTGTTTAAGTCTTCAGTTATATCACTTACAAGATATATTTTACTCTTTTTGAAATTACAAGCTTTTCTGTGTATGAGGAATACTATGGCAGAAATAAAACAAGTTACAAATATAATAAAGCTTAGACATCAGAAACTAATATATACACTGTCATGAGTTGATATAAAACAACATCAATTTTTCCTTGGAATAAGTCTTTTTTATTTACTCTTCATTATCTCTGTCCAAATGTTTATCAAAAGCTGCTCTTCTAGATTATACTATCCCCCCCTCTCCCCTCGAGGGTGGTTTCTAAGACAAAAGATGAAAAAAATGTACTTTTGAACTCAAAGTGTACTTAAGAAGAAAATTTTATACTTTAATAACCATTAGCCAGCTTGGATCTTCTCTGCCTAGTCATCTCTCGCTTGTTGGGAAAAACTGCATCACTTTTAGAAACATGTCGTGATATACTATTGTCAATCTGAATTCCTTTCCTGTACTCAGACTTGTAGAACTCGGTTTTGGTGTTTACTTTCAGATATCTTTTCTGCAAAGTACACAAAAAACTTAATAACACTTGTTTTTAAGCCTTGAAGCTCCCTAGAACAGGCCTCTGTATTGCTAAGCAAATACAGCTAGAGCACAGAAAATAAGGACAACCAATTAGAAAACAAAACAATATTAATCGCCAAAAACAAATGTAGGTTAGAAACACAGTTATACAGTAGAATCATAGAAAACATTTTGGACAAAGATCGTAAAATACTGTAATGCAGTAGAACTATGAATACCGTTCCACAAATTACTCAGTTTTCACTATCCCAACACTTTTAATTTTCTGACAACCAGATGAAAAAGTATGAATATCAGGTACTAGGAAAACACTAAGAAAATAATAGGATCAAAAGAAACTCTTTCAAAAAATCACTTTAATATACGATATTCATGCATTTTCACTTGCCGTAAAAAATGGGGGTTCTACTTTAACTTTACATGACCATAATGCCTTATAGTAGACCTAACGTTCCTCTTTATATACAAACTAGCCAAATTCACATCGTATTGCAATAAATGCCAATTTTCTTTTGAAAATTAAATCTAAATAAATGTGTTTTATAAACATGTTTTCTAAAACTTAATTACACAGTAATAACTATATATGTATGAGGAATTTGTATACTTTTTTCTAGTATGTCCTGAAAATATTTTTTATTGTATATTTGGTCATCTCCTGTAAGTTGTCCATGATTATAATTTTGACTTATGTATATCTTTGTCTTGATAGTCTTAGAAATTAAAAATTTAAAAATACCAGTTACTGATGAAATATTCCTTCATCATCAAATGTCTGACCACGTGATTTTTTAGTCGTCATGGCAAAGGCAGAGGATTTCATGGTGAAGTACAAATTCGTGAAGGTATAACTTTTCAATAAAAAAAAACCTTATAAATATTTTTGACTAAAGTTTTAAAAATCTCTTAAGAAAGGTGAAAAACATCAATAATAATGTATTGTAGTGCCACCTATTGTACTGAAAAGATACTTTCACACATACAATCAATTGTGTTTATGTAATACAAACCAAAGTACCTAGCTTTGCTTGGATTATTAGACTGACAGCTTTTTGTTATTTTATGTCTGAACTCTTACTGCAGAATCATCAATTATTATCCAGTGTTTTGTTTGTAGCCTTTTTTCAAGCTTAATTTAGTTATGGGGCTATAGGGCAAACTTTTTTAAAATCTACAAAATAATACCCAGGAGCTCACCCTCAAATCTACAAAATAATACACAGGTACACACCCTCAAATCTACAAAATAATACCCAGGTGCACACCCTCAAATCTACAAAATAATACCCAGGTGCACACCCTCAAATCTACAAAATAATACCCAGGTGCACACCCTCAGAATCTCTTCAGTATGCAGGTCTCTTGGTTCTTTCGTGTTGGAGATATGGTAGTCACACACACACAGACAGACTCTTATATTATTGTGGATGATATTGTCTCTTATTTAATCTATAATTGTATTTGTACTTTTCCAAATATTTAAATAGCTTGTTGTAAATATGATAATAAATATATAAACATAAACTCTCGACTTGACTGGGATTTCAACTAGAAACTTCACTATAATCATTGTGACACCCAAGCTTTGTAATCAAATGTTAGCAAATAATTCAAATCCTTCAGGTAAACTAACATGTTACTGAGGTTTTTCCTAATAGTGTAGTATATTTCTGTAAACATAAGTTAATAATTTAAAAAACATTAAAGCTCAGCTCCTCTTCTTTCTGACAATTACTGACTTCAAGTTGTAACTTCTTTTAAAGGCCCAGTTAAAGTTCTCAAGACCTCTCTAGGTAGTGCGATAAATGTGAGTTCATCCAGTAAATTCACAGTTGGATGAACAGAAGATGCAGAAACATGAAATGGAAAGCTAACCAAAAATGATGAAATCTGACTGATAGAATAAAATACAAGCTTAGGGACCAGTAGAAAAAAAAGAAGCATATCTAGAAGTGATATCTTTACACTTAGTGGTATGACAGAAACAACAGTACAATTGTCTTTGTTTCTTCAGTTCTGTAATTATGGAGTTTCACCAAGTACCAACAGTTTCAAGTATCAATAGTTTGAACTATTTTTTTCCTCATTTATGGAAGAAACTAGATGAGCAATATAAAATGCTAAGATATCAATCGTGCACACCGAGTAAAAAAATGTTAAAATAGAATCAAATTTTTTAACCCAATTGTGATTTATTAGTGTGCACTTAGAGAAACCTGAACACCCACACAAGTCAGGAAAGGGTTAATCGATGATAAACATGGTTAGAAATGGTATATAAAACTAGACGACATTTGATAAAGCGTTGATATGTAGACCAACTTACCTCTTGCTGTCGTTTGGAATACAATACACATCCATAAACACACAGCACACTTAACAGCATCTACAAATAAAAACATACAACAACTTGAGAAATAAGTTAATAAATAAAAGATTCACTAAGCAGTCTCCAGTAAGAGACTTCGTAAAACCTGATTTTTCATTAATATAAGTTAAAACCAAGTCTGTGTATGAAAGTTGGGATTCCACAACATTTTCTTTTCCTTTTAACTTGTTATTACAAAACTTCTTTCAAAGTTTAATCTGAAATCTTCAGATCACAATATGTTTAGCTATAAACTTTGAACCAGAACCTTCATGTTTGGAATCCTTAAACGAATCTCTCTCTTTTCAAGACAAATTTGATGCCATTATACACAGCTTTTAAATACAAAATTAAAACTTGTAATGTATGCTTCAATTATAAACTTACTGAAGCTTCAACATCTTAACCAAGAAAAATTACGAC